TTTATTGCTGACTTAACATCCAACTTCTTCAGCTAGTTTCTGAATGCCTGACTTTCCCAACGCCTTTCCTTATATACCCTTTGGTTGTGTAGTCCATTTCAAGGGTTGTCAGGTCATTCAATTATTTGAAGTCTTCACTGCGCTTTACTCAAATACCTCTTAACCATTTCACCTATATATTCCTATGTAAAACTTTGTTTTGGCCCCGTCCTAGCCCCCGGGGTCTTGATTTGAACAAACTCGAATCTACATTACATGAGGATACTTCTGTATCAATATGATTAATAATTGCTTAGCTGTTCTTGAGAAGATTTTCAAGCATATTTCCTTTATATTCCTATGGTAAACTTTGCACCCCCACCCCTGTTGTGGCCCGGTCTTACTCCAGGGGTCATAATTGGAACAAACTTAAATCTAATCTACCTGAGGATACTTCTTTTATAATATTAATAATCATGGCTTTGCTGTTATGGAGAAGATTTTTAAAGACATTTCCTATATATTCCTATGTAAAACTTCGACCCCTCTTGTGGCCCACCCTATCCCTGGGGTTATGATATGAACAAACTTGAATCGAGATAGTATGTAATGAAGCTTTCACGTAAGTTTCATCTTTTCTTGCCCAGTGGTTCTTGAGAAGATTTTTAAATGATGCCACCAAATTTTCACGAATTCTTTATTATTTCCCCTTGAAAGAGGGCGCGGCACTTCCTGTGAACAAACTTTAATTCCCTTCACCCAAGGATGCCTTGTAGCAAGTTTAATTAAAATTGGTCCAGTGGTTCTTGAGAAGAAGTCGAAAATATGAAAAGTTTACAAACGGACGCCGGACAGAAAAGCTCACTTGAGCCTTCGGCTCAGGTGAGCTAACAACAACAAAAAACTAACTAAAAATATAGCACAACCAACAAAACAAAATCTGTATTTCATAGAGCTGATTGATTTTTTAAAAGCGCTTCGGTAATATTTCAGTCATATTTCCTATGACCGGTTTTGATTGGGGGGGGGGGTTTCTGGCGGCCGAAAATAAGCATACTCTTGTTTGAAACCCAGTGAAACTATCTTTTGCGCCGTGTCAAGGGGATTGTAATCCTTGACGAGGGGCACCGTTTAAAGTCCCACGAACTTAAAATGTTTGAAAATTATGTAAACAGATAAAATATACATTACTGCGCGTGTTTACAAAATTACTTAACTTAAATTTTGTACAATTACATTTTACTGTAAAAATCTGTTTCGTGTAAAATATTTAAAATTGCATAAACACCAATATGTGTAAATTATAGTAACAGTTCATGTGTCGTTTGAAGATCTCTAATGAGTTTACTTCGAAGAATCAGTGCATTCTAAAAAAAAAAAAAAAAAAAAAAAAAAAAAAAAAAAAATACGAAGTATAGTTAAGGACAATCAAAAGATATGCATTCAGCCTAACGTTCCACATTAAGACGCTCATAACACTGATGAAAATTTTTTTTTGGACGTTGAGAAAATATGATGATAAAATGGAGTATATATTGAGTTTATCTAGTTTATTTTAACATATGTTACCAGCCATATAGGTTCCATAAAAAAAAATCAGTGTCGAAGTATTAGTCAACAAAACACTGTTGTTTACTTACTATGGAAAAATGTATGTAAATGTTTTCAGTTTCTTTATCTTGGTCTGGAATAATGCTAAAATTATTTTTACCTGTATGTCATGAAATGTGAAAATAACGAACAGTATTCAAATTCAAAAGTCCATTGAAACAATACAGACTGGGATCAGAGCAAACACGGACCTCTAAAAATATCAGAGGTGGGATCAGGTGCCATGGAGTGAGCATCCCCTGTCGACCGGTCACACCAACCGTGTGCTTCTTGTCATGATCCGGCAAACGGAAAAATCCGTAGACAATTCCGTGTGAAAAAAATGGCCTAACAATAAATTCGATTTAAAGACAGATTCTATTTGCCGACAAGGTTAAAGTAAAATATTCTTAGATCGTTAGTTTTTATCTATATTGCGTCATTGATACTGTAGATTTCTTTATATTCCAATTTTCACCAAAGGGCAGATCACGCTAATGCATAAAACTACAAAATATTGGTGAGCAGTGTTTAGAGCTTTCTTAAGAAGGTGTGAATGGGTTATTTATGAATGACCAATAAGTTTTCTTGAAAATATTACTTGTGAGTTTTCAATTCGGATGACTTCTAAAGCATAAAGATTTTATGTATTACAAAGAAAGAGAATTTATATCAAATTTTACAAAATACTCCAGATCATTATAGGGGAATTTTGGTGTGTGTAATTTCATATTAAAATACCGCTTATGCATCACTATCAACCTACATGTAAGTATTGGCAGTGATACCAGAATGATTTGGAATCTAGCAAAAGTCAACTATTCCAGATAGTGTTTAATTAATGTATATAAAACTGGAATATATATGTCACAGTAAATATGTGTAATCAGGAATTTCACATATTTCCTGAATTTTAGGAAATACATGAAATTCCTATTCTGCTTATGAAATACGTGTATTTACTATTTCCAGCTTGGAAATACGTGTATTTACTGAATTTTTCAATACGTTTTACATGTATTTACTGACTGGTTATTTGGTGAAATAATTTAAAGTATGAATATTTTAAAATATTAACAAATGTACATTGAATTCAATGTTTACCTTATCAACTTAAACCAAGTAAGGAGAGCTCAATAACTTATTTTACATACATGGTTTTTAATCGATTCATTTCCAGTTAAAATGGTTGATGATTAATCCCTTTTAAAATATGGTTTCAGCTTTGAACGCCGATATTATTGTGAATCATATATTTTTTTATTTTTTCAAAGAAAATGTAAAAAAAAAAAATGTTTTATTTGCTAATTAAATGCTTTAGAGTTTTCTACTGTTAAAAAATGCATAAATATGTCAACATATCTAATAAAAAATATCAAAAGGAGTCGGGAAAACATTTTTATCTTTAAATTTCAAATTTATTTATAGAAATAAAATGCATTATTTGTTAATATTTCAAAAACCTACGGATAAAATCATCAAAAAAGTAGAAGCCTCAAGGAGACAAAAAGGCCCCTTCTGACATGAAAGTTTTAAATATGTGAAAGTCTAAGAGAGTTAAAAAAACAGTTGGGTTAAAGTGACACAACAATAAAATACATATTATACCTGTTTGAAACAGTCATGGCATAAATGTTTTATTTTTGTCATTCCATTTATTTAAATAAACAAAAATTGCTGACTGGCTTTTCTTCACATGTTTTATTAGATACACATATTGTGTTACTGCCAGCATATTTAAAACCCTGAAGTATCTTCTCTGCAATAAAAACAAATCTTATTGCCTCTTAAAAAATCCCCCCCCCCCCCCCAAAAAAAAAATTAAAACATGTAATGGGGCAAATGTCAGTATTTCAGTGTTGAAACCTTAATTGAAAGTATTTCTCCATAAAAGCAATTTTGGAAAGACACTGCACTGAGTCTAGCCCAAAAATGGAAATTAATCTATAACGAATGTCATCTTTGTATAAAATATTCATATAAAGGGCTGTTATAAAGCAAGGATATTATATTTGTACTACAAATTAAATATTTTAAAACATATGTATAGTCATCCTGCTTAGTTCAGTAAAAACGTGTAAAATTGGTTGAAATGAAATATCTGGAGATAACGAACAGTATTAAAGCTTAAAAGTCCATTAAATAATACAAAATAGGAGCAGAGCAAACACGGACCTCCAAAACATAAGAGGTGGGATCAGGTGCCATGGATGAGTGAGCATCCCCTGCTGACCGGTCACACCCGCCGTGTGATCCATGTCATGATCGGGAAATAACGGAAAAATCCGTCGACAATTCAGTGTGTAAATAATGGCCTAACAATAAGTATGAAAAACGTCAGTCAGCATTTAACTCGGTGATAAATTGTATTTGCTGACAAGGTCATTGTATCGACCATAGAACTTACGAAATGATGACTTTAAACGAGACTGCTGATATTCTTGTATCATCAACTTGTTTGTCAACAATTTACCTCGTTTTAGAATTTTCAGTAAATACACGAATTTCCTAGCCTATTCAGTAAATACATGTATTTACTAAAACACTCAGTAAATACCTGTATTTACTGAAGGGTTTGGGAAATACATGAATTTCCTGATTTTACATATTTACTGTAACACACACACACAAATATATATATATATATATATATATATATATATATATATATATATATATATATATATATATCATATCATATCATATATCATGAAACCGTTCTATAGTCCTTCGTAGATCAGACGATAGAAGGCTCGTTCCGTGATCGAAAGGTCATGGGTTCAAACCCCGACCACGACTGACCTAAGTCAATGAAAAATAGGTAGCAACTGTTCCTTCGCTAAGTGTTCGGCACTTGAAGTGAAAGTTGTGGGTCTTTCGGATGAACCCTTAAAAGTCGAGGCAAGCGTTGGCATGATAAAGATCCCTTAATGCTCAAGGCCATCATTGCCGTCTAAAAGGTCTAACGTTTAAGTTTTTCATCAGTATATGGTGAGGTCTCTATATGAGCTAAAAATTTTCGAATGGGGCGTACAAAAACACAATCAGTCAAATCCAATATCCATTCACAGTTCTGTTTTGGAAGGTAATATATATATATATAGCTAACTTAAGATATCTTGTCCACGAACAGAAAAAAAAACCAATTTTGAACTAGATTTTACTCAGACGAATGACATTTCTACTGCCAACCTAGCTTCTACTACTGAATATGTATATAGCGTTAATTTTTAATGTATATAATAAAACAATATGTCAACACTGGTTAACTCGTGTATTTATACCGAATGCCTTTTATATGATACCAACAAATCATCTTTCTAGTAACCGTTGAAACAACTCGCACTTTAATTTTGATAGGAACGCCCCCAAAACATAAATCATTATAAAAGCCAGGAAGACAAGGTACAGACTTCATATGTAAACATTAGATGAAGATGCAAACTTCTTATTTGAAGTGCTCTGTTGTTGGTGATGCTCAAGTTGGCAAAACTTGCCTTACCAAAATGTTTGTTGGAGAGAAGGGAGAAGAAAAATATACACCAACCATCTTTGAAAATTATTCTGGTAAGTTTTAAGCTTTACTTTCTGAATGAAATTCACTTGTGTTTTTACTAAATTAACTCCTGTTAACCTATTAATGTAATACTAATTCAATTTCTTCTTATTATTATTAGGTGAAACAGTTTGCAGAGGAAAGAAAGCCAGTCTCTCTATCTATGATTTACCCGGTCAGCACGATTTCGATCAGATGCGGAAATTTGCCCTGAAAGATAGTAATGTTATCATCATTTGTTACAATGTTCAGAATAGAAAATCTTTCGAAAACGTCCAGTCTGTGTGGATTCCAGAAATACGCCAGTTCCTAGGAAAGTCCGTACCCATTGTTCTTGTAGGAATTCTGTTGAATAAAAAACAGGTCAAAAGTGTGTCAAGAAGGGAGGCCATTAAAGTTACCTCCCAGATGCAACTTCACGACTACTTTGAGATATACTCTGGTGATAATGTTGAGGTATCCTGTCTGTTTTCTTGTGTCGCAAACATTGCCAGGAAAACAAAGAAGAGAAACTTCTCTTTTCTTAGACGTATCTTCGTTAAATGACATTTGCGATAATCATTTGATCCACCTTTGGAATCTAAGCATAACATTTCCTTCAGACTAAGCCCCTCGGTACCAGATTAAAAAGATGATGTAGAAAAGTGATGAAATTGTCAGCCTTTACTGCGTAATGATGCTAGGGTGAAATTGTATGAATTGGACTGGGTTTTCGAGTAGAAGACAGAAACATGTTCACCATGTTAGAAGTATAATGGTACAATAACAGCTGCACCGCCACATGAGGTGAAAGAAGAGACATATCTATGAGGGTGAATTTCTCTGATATGTATCCATGCATATACAGTTGTATTGTTCGCTTTCAGCTAAAAAATTTCAAGAAAATAAAAAAAATGTAAATTTATTACTTCTATTTTTATTTATCCTAGTTGCTCATCATGTGGAAAACTATCTAAATATAAATGTTTTAAAACTTAGAGTGAAGAAGTAAGAAAATATAATCGTTCAATACATTTATGTTTTTAAATCGAATCCAGATATTTCCTTAAGTGATGTTAAATAAATAAGCAAAGCCCTTTTACTAACAATGTGGGTCAATATCTACTGGTATTATACAACAATCTCTAGTTTCACAATATTCGTTGTGCTCTATCACGTAGATGTATTAAAGGGCAACCTGAAGGCGCAGTAAATTTTATTTGACACGTGATAAAATGCATAATTTTTATACCAATATATAGCACACAACAGCGCTGACAAGTCGTATTCATTTGAGGAAAGGCAGGTATTTCAATTAGCAAGGCCCTTATTTAGTTCTGAAAACCCGGAGTCAAACCTCGGTCCGTTGCTTCTTCCTAACTTCCAGAAGCATTTGGTATCACTGCCGTCTTCTGGAAGTAACAGATGTAAAACCTGATACAGAAGGTCTGTGGTATGTCTTCTTGAGCGCAGGTACTGAAAGGATGGTCAGGCATACTGGTTTTCTGTGACTAGTTAACTCGGTTGATATAGCAAATCTAAAGTTCAGGGGACTGAAGTTCTATAATCTATCATTTGTATTGGGGGTTGCCTGTTGTTTTTTTTTTTCTCGATTTTTTTTTTCTCCTTTTATGCTATACAAGTCTACTTATTGTAATTTAAACAATTATTGGGTGTTCAAGCATGACTGCTAACATCATCCCTTTGCAGTTTAATATATATATATATATATATATATATATATATATATATATATATATATATATATATATATATATATATATATAATTTATATATATGATTTCAATACATGTGTAACCAGGTTCACGGGTGTGTGAAATGTAATATACGGAGATAACGAACAGTATTCAAGCTCTAAAGTCCATTAAACATTACAGAATAGTTGCAGAGCAAATACGGACCTCCAAAACATCAGAGGTGGAATCAGGTGCCAGTTTTTGAAAGTCAGTCAATGTATCAGGTCTCAATAGCTCAGTGGTTAGAGCGCTGGCACGGTACGCCCGAGGCCCTGGGTTCGAGTCCCGGTTCAGACTTGATTTATCACCACCTGTGATACATGTTTTCTAATATAGTGTTTAAGGACATTGGCAAGGTTCCTGGTTATCGTATAGAATTTTTCAAGAACTCTTGAGTAGGTTTAAATGTACTAAACAGTCTATATTCTGGATCGTTTAACCTACCAAGCCAACCTTCTTTTTTAGATTTTGTCAAATCAGTGTTTTTACAATTCTCAATGCATTTCCTATGTAAAATGTTGATAAAAGGGACCTACATAATATTTCACCATAATATATTTCCAAAACCCACTTATTTCATACAGTTTTTGTATTATATACATTATTGTATCTTCATTTCCTAAGACTTCTAGATATTTTGGCTGAAAATGTATATATCGGAACAAGACATGGATATACCGGCACCGATCATTATTTCTGAGTTGCTTCCCTTAATTAACAGCTAAAATTGATCAAGAGACTGATTGATTGTTTTCATCATGTAACTGACTGAATTGATTGAAACACATTGTCATAAAAATATTGCCATGGTTTTATTTTTATTTTTTATTCGTAGATACTAAATGCTGCTTCCTCCACACGACCTAAGAACTGTTCTCAGTCGGCCTACCTTTCAGCAGATGTCACATCTTTGCCCTTCCCAGCATACTGAGCATAACTATGGTAAATGACGACCTATTAGCTCTTTGTCCCTGAATACAATGTACAACAAAGCCATAACTACTTTTCTTTCTTGCTGTATAGATGATTCTATCCGTTGAAGAAAGTACACGTGCTTTTGTTTACCTCTGTAACATACGCTTTATTGGTTTCCACCGCCCAGAGAATTCTACACGGTAGATCACTCTCAATCACTATTTTATAAGTGAAAAAACCCAAGTATTAAACCTTTTTTTCTCCGGAAAACCCGTACTTGCCAATGTCCTTAAGAAGGCCCCATTGTTGGATAGAAACAAAAAAGTTAGAACTGAAGACAACTGCTCCTTTGAAAGGTGGCATTCATACTTTTGTTTGCATTGCTTTAAATATCCATCTGCTATATAGCATCATTTTATCCAAACGTAATGTAACGTATTTACATTAAAAACTCGAGGATCGTACCTGGTCAATTCCAGGGTTTGGGGTGTTCAACATTAAATGATTGGAAATAATTGGTATGATTTTAGTGGACTGCCGCAATATACAAATATGTTCTAACCTTATCTAGGTAAACAATAATCAAATGGTAAATCAATATAACAATCGAAGGCAAGCAACGATAAATTATCTGGTAGTCCTAACCTAATACTAAAATAAGAGCCCAGTCGCCCTCAGACTATCGCATATATTGTAGGATGCCTTATTCAGGACGGACAGTGAGTACAGCAGCCTGGACAGACTGGTCAGCCAATGCAGACGAGATCAAACAAACTATGGCTAGCCTCCATACTGGAGGTCAACCTCGTTTGTGGCAGGCCTTAACTGGTTTGGCCTTCCAAATTCTCTCTCTAACTGTAAAACAGGCGAGGAATATTTAACGTGAATACTTCATTCACTGCACTCGTCTTCTAATCTTGGCTGCGCCCAAAAAACGCCTACAGAGCGGAGTCACAGTATTTATACATGATTGATGTCACGTGATGTCAACAGTGACTAATTGAGAACTCCACATGGTCGTACCTTAAAATCCCGAAATCATTACAGTAACAGATTGTTGATCAGTTTTTGAATTAAATAATTCATGAATTTAATTTCCACATCATTATACACTGTAATTTCGAAATCGATTTTGAAACCTTTGAAAATTTATCTATTTCGTTGATAAAATAATTATACTGCAAGAAAACTATTTTTATTTCTAAAAATTCATCACAGCAAGTTACTGGACAAGGTAAATTGAAACAATATGATTTCTTTCGTTTTAGGAACGAATTAGACAGAAATCATTTTCTACTTGTTATTATTATGAATTACTGTTCGGAATTACAAGGTTTTCATTCGAATACCTGTTTATTATCACGTGGTTCTTGTGAACCGGTTTCGTTAGCAAGGCTATATAAGAGGTGAATAGCTGTTTAAATACCAGTTTATGACTATTGGTGCTATTATGACAAGACCTTTCCTTGGGTACCACCATATATGACCTTTTGACTTTGACCGTGGAGTCTGACCCAGTTTTGCAAAATGTTACCAAACTTTAACCTTGGGCATAACTTTTGAACGGTTGGTGCTAGGGCTTTCATACTTCCCATGTGTAATCCTAGTGACAAGACCTTCCTTTGGATACCAACAACTTTGACCCTATAGGCCTTGACCTTGGAGTTTGACCTACTTTTGAAAAAACTTTAACCTTGGCCATAACTTTTGAACAGTTGATGCTAGGGCTTTGTATATTTCACATGTGTAATCCTTGTGATAAGACCGTCCTTTGGATACCAACAACTTTGACCTTGACTTGGAGTTTGACCTACTTTTGGAAAACTTTAACCTTGGCCATAACTTCTGAACGGTTGGTGTTAGGGCTTTCATACTTCACAAATGTAATTCTTGTGACAAGACCTTTCTTTGGATACCAACAGCTTTGACCTTGGAGTTTGACCTACTTTTGGAAAACTTACTTTAACCTTGGCCATAACTTTTGAATGATTGGTGCTTCGGCTTTCATATTTCACCCGTGTATTTCTTGGGAGAAGACCTTTCCTTTGGCACCATTTATTTTGACTTGACCTTGATGCTTGACATACTTATTATATTTAAAGATGCGTTCGCTAAGTATTATGCACTTAAGCAAATGGCTTGTATTTAAATAATAAGAGAATATGAATGAAGGGATATTTATCCCACCACATTTGTGGTACTGCCATTTGGCGAGTTTGAATTTATTCTGATCAGTATTTCATGAAAATTTTATATGACTTATATTTAAAAAATAAGAAAACTTGAATGCAGTGTCATTTATCCAACCACATTTGTGGTACTGCCATTTGGCGAGTTTGAATTTTATCATTATTTTTGCACATGCAAAATATATTGTATACTGAATATGCAGTATTAATCTAATCTTATATGGGGATACATATATATTGATTTTAAAGTGAAAAATTATTTGTCGGTGTTCTATAAAAATGGTTTTTGCAGGTTTTTGATAGAGAATTGAATGAATTGCCTTTAAAGTTACGTGAAAAAGTTTTTGTTCTCCCTGGGATCATTCAAGCTTCACGAGCGGATTCCACATCTACAAATACTGTAACAGTTTCCTGAGATTTAAGAAATGGGCTCTGGATCAAGGAGTTGAGGAAAGTGACATTTTCCCTTCTAAAACTTAACATGTATCCATTTATCTAGCATGTTTCACTTAACAGGCTAATTCTTCACCTCCTATAATTGACGCTTTTTATGCTATTGAATGGACTCGTAATCTTGTTGGATTTACGTCTCCGACGGACGACCAGTTTCTTAAAAATTTTATGGAAGGTGCCAAACGTAAATATGCAAAACCTACATCAAAGAAAGAGCCAACTACTGTTGATAATTTACGTGATATGTATTTGA